TGTCAAATATAATAGCTATTTGTCAAAAAGAAAGAAATCAGACAGGAATATTTTAATGTTTTTAAATTGGGATTAGTAGAGAGCAAACAATTCTCAATTCAACCCATTTCCCAAAATCTCATCAAATGAACAAATAACATCTTGACAATAGCCTAGTTGGTTTGTAAATTTGGTGTCATCGTAGTTGTGAGTTCAACCTGTGGACCAGGCAGTATCTACTTGGACTAAGTGGAAATGGGCAAGCAATAACTGAGCAGACGATATCCCAAGAGATGGGCAATAGAATAAGAACAGTCTACCCTTGTAGATTAAATAAAGGGTTTGGTTCAGTATTCCTTGTAGGTTACCCAAATCGATATACCCCTGATGAAGGCTGGAGGGCACAACAGCTGAAACGTTGTGATAACAACAACAAAGATGAGGACAATAGACTGAATATAGTGTAAATAAAGAACAAATAAAAGTTCAAACATTTTTTTTGTTTTTGATGAGATTAAGATCACTACAATCTTAACCTCTTCAAATCTTGGGTCAGTCATTATATCTATCCTACATATGCACTTCTTACTTCCTCCATTACAAAAATCTCATTCATTATCCCTTTACCTTGAGCGTTTCTTAGGCTTTGTAGTGGGTGAACAATAGTATAAAAAAAAAATGAAAGGTTTTCTTGTTTGTGTTCTTGTAAACTCCATACCAGTTACCATTATTAGTTTAAGCTGTTTGGCAAAAAGTGTAATAATGATTTTGGGAGACAGATTTCAAGCTAAAAAAAACAAAAAAAAAAAGTTTTAGACAGAAGAATTTTTTTTTTTCTTCATAGACCTAAAGGTCAGGTACATGCTGATAGTAGAAAAATGTTTTTTGTGTATATTGGTGCTGGCTTGATGCTTGACTTGGCTAAAAACAACCTCTCCCAAAATTTATAGACATGCTGGGATTTTTTCCTATCCAGTAAGATAGACCACTTCTCAGAGTCTCCTCCCCTATATTTTTTCTTTCTTGTCTTGAAGTCATAATGCTGCAATCACTTGTCCATATCCCTTTTTACTTAGTTTGTGAACTTTTTGCCTCATTACTGTTGCTTTGCCTACTTTTGTCTTGCATAGTTTGTTTGCTTAGTATTATGTTTGCCTTGTTCTTTTATTTCTTTTGTTATTTTTTATTGCAAACTTTGTCAATTCTGTTTGTTGGGCATTTCTGAAAATTACATTTAAACATGGACAATTACTCTAAATGCAATTTTCAATGTACTTCTCTTCATGGAAATATTGAAGGATGCAGATTCTGAGTGCTTTTAAGTAGAATCCAATGATTATTCCAGATTTGATTTTATTCTTCAATATCCTATTTTATATTTAATGCAAAGCAAAAGTCTCATAGAATATTCCAAAATAGAAAAATGGCCTCTCCTGACAAACCCAATGAATCAAAAAAGTATATTATCCTACCAACTCTATCACAACTACAATTGAAAAGAACATATATTAACTCAATATAAAATTCCTTACAACTACATTTAAAACAATAAAAGATTTAGTCAATACAAAACAAAACAATATGCTAAAATTTGAAGGTGGAATTTACTCTATTGTCTGTAATAATTGTCACAAAAAAATACATAGAAGAAACCTCAATGAATTTAACTAAAAGATTATATGAACACAAAAGGGACATTTTACAGGATAATGCATTAAATGCATTAGTTGCTTACTGTAATGTGACTGACCACAATTTTGATATAGAAAATGCCATTTTGATCAAAGGAGAAAACAATTAACTAAGATGAGAAGGTTTAGAGAGTACCGTGATTGCCAGATCATCCACAGTAAATTTGTGCCCAGGCTCTTATAACATTTCACCATTCCTGGCAGATCTCCTATTATCCTATTAAGAAAAGTGATGGAAATAAAAAAAAACAAAAAAAACAAAAGAAAAAAATCTAAATGAAATCAGCTAGATTATATATCCAAAACTTAAAAAAAAAATAAGAAAAATAATTTGAAAATTTTAGAATTCTTGTCATCTCTTATTCATCCACATGTGAAGTCACACCAATGTAAACAAATTCAGTTCAATGAAGTCCTAAAGGATGACACACATCAAACAAAAACATTTTTCCCCACATTGTCATACATCTTTACTCATATATGTATATATATTTTTATAGGGAAAGATATATATGCACTTTGATGTAGTGTAATGGATGGTTAGCAAGCTTGTCTTGCTAGATCAATTATGACAGAGTAGTGAGTTTGATCTTCACTGCCCCATATTTTCAACCTTGTGCTGCATCTAAGATGCCACTTATAAAATCATCATGATAGCCCCTGACAAGTGGGTGGGTGGGTCCATCGACGAAACTCATGGAGTTGGGATGTTGAAGGTAACACCAATCCACTAAGTGTTAAACCTTTTACTTTATATATATATATATATATAAACTGTTGGGATATTTTAATTTAATTAACTCCTCAGGTGTTTATTAGAAGGTGAGAAAAAGCAGGTTCACACTTAAAATAGTTTACAATCTCTCTCACACACACGTGTATATATATATATATATATATATATATATATATATATATATAGATATATATATATATAGAGAGAGAGAGAGAAAGAGATAGAGTGTGTGTGTGTGTGTGCACACAGCTTCCATTAGACTCGTATGAAGCATGGAACCAAAAACCTCATTATGTTAGGTATTACTGCTGTGAACTTCCATACCAAGTAGATTTTTGTTGTGAAATTGCCAATTTCATGTCCAATCAGTTTTAAGTTCAGAGATGTCCTCCTCCAAGACCAGTTGCAAATCAAGGCTAGAGAACCCAGTCTGCCTTACTATTTAACCAATAGCTGAGAGGAGAAAAAATTGATTCATAACTTTCCCAACGGTGTTTGTGCAAAAGTGAATACAATGAACTTAGCATGTTGATTTCTCTGCTGATAGCTGCTACACTATGCACACACACAAACACACACAGGTTGTGTCCATATTTTCAGTGTTTCATCAATAAATCTTGAAAGTTCCTTTCATCCCAAGTTCTCATTCATTTTCAGTTTTTGGCAATATTATTGCCTAATCAATTAATTGCTGTTGCTATTATGAAAGAAAACAAAAGGGAATTTTATTTAAAGAAGAAAACAAAAGGTATTGCAAAAATAATATTTATTTCCCAGAAGCATTCATTATGGAAAAAAGACTATAATAACAGTGTGTGTATATGTCAGTAAATATACATAATATCCTACATCGATAGCACAAATTGGAGTTTTATACAAATGCGCAATCTTCAGGTGCAGGATATTCACTTAAGCTTAGTGGTCAGTGAGTATCCTGCACCTGAAGATTGCGTATTTGCATGAAATTCCAAGTCATACTGTCAACATAAGTATTATGTATATTCAGTAATATATACTTAATAGTTCTGTTATGTAACATTGAGCACTGTTTTTATAACACCTGAAAAAAAATATATATGTGTATGTGAAAGTATATATGCATATATGTATGCCCATATCTGTGTGTGTGTGTGTGTGTTTGTGTAAGAAGCTTCATTAAAAAATGTGTAATCTCCTCAAACTTATGGAATGTAACATTAAGTTCCTGTATTTATAGGTAGTCTGGCACAGGGCAAAACATGTAGAGTCCTTAGGATCAAACTCTCTACACAAGAGTAATGGATTAAAGGTGATGGTTTATAAAGATTTAGTCTTTATTTGCTAGTATTTTGTTTGTATTAAAAATGAGTTTTCATTATTTATTGTGGACAAACTCAGTTGAACTTAAGTAGTAATGAATTTATTTTTCTGTAATTAATAAATAAAAATTGTTTTTGTATTAGAAAAAAAAAATGGGTATCCAAATATTTAGAAAAGGAATTTTTTTTTTGTAAAATATTTTGTATAATGCGATTTATACAGATGCTGATGTGTAAAATAAAGTGTTTTCTCAGATTCTGTTAAAAAAATGAAGAGCAAGTAAACAGGTCATAGTATTAACATACAATTCTAACATTTTTGAGCTTGCATGTATAGGCCAAGAATAGAACAATGATGCTCCCCCAACCAGCATTGGGGGGGAGAAGAGGCTGATTCATACCTTATCCAAGGGTATTTGTGCATAAGTGAATATAATGAACCAGAGTGGAATTGAAATTTGGTTTTCCAATTTCTAATTGCTGGCTGTTATACATTACACTACCTGCATATCCAAGCTTTCAGCACCTGGTATCCACAAGTGGTCACCCATTTAGGTACTTACTAGGCTCAATGTTGCTTATCTTTGGAGATTTTACTAGAACTGTTGTTTCAACGTGATATGTCTGTAAGCCTACTAGCATTGCTGGTGTGGAAAGCTGTTATTAGACATAAAAAAAGACAAGAATTTCAAAATGGTGTAGATTAATGTTGTATCATGTTTAACAAACAAAATTGCTGGAGGACCACCATTGTTCTATTCTTGGTATTGAATGTGACTAACCAGTTTTTTTCTCTCACTGAGCTCTGTTAGACATATTTTTTCTAGACATTTCCCTTGTAATTGGGAAATTGTAATGCTTTGAATATTGTACTTAACATACTTATTGAAGCAACAATAAAAATGATTAATTTTTGTTCAGTTTATAAAAGAAAAATTTGACACTATTATTACAGAATAACAATGTTTTCATAAACAATTTGTTAATGCAATAAGTGTGATCCTCACTCTAACGGCCCTGTACCAGACTTGTAAAGATCCATACTTTTACACTAAATAACAGGTGAGTTTTTTCTGCTTGTACTGACAAGGAGAGAGAATTATTGAGCCGTTATTTTACTGCAGTCATTTATTCGACTTGAAGTTTTTCTGTAACCTTGAAAGCTCTACCATGATTTGAATGGTTAAAATTTTGCCTGAATCGGTTTTGACTTTAAGCGACACATCTTTATTTTCATGAGTATTGAATATATATTTCTAATCCCAAGGGATGTGTTTCACATGTATGGATTTTGTATCAGTGAATAGGTTGACAAAGATAACCTTTGACAGCTATTTGTCTGTACATTGCAATATACATTTTGGTCTTTTGTGTATATGGCAGGAGAAATTCTTTAATGAATTCCTTTTTAGATGTAGCAGCAGGAATAGCTTCCAGCAGTTGAGAAAATTTGAAGAATTCCATTACAAAAGTGAAACAATTATGTTGCTCTTCATCATACCTATTAAAAAAAGAAAAAAAAAAGATTTTATTTCCTGAGGTAAGGAAGATGTTATTGACTTAGTCAAAAATTTTATAAGGACTTTTTACATGGCAAAGTTTAATTTTTGTGCCTGCAAAAAATGGCGTTTCAAAAGGACAGTTTTTCTGATGACATCACTATTATGTTAAAACAACAAAGACTTTCAAGGAAATGTTTATTTACAAGATTATAAAAATATGTGAACTAGGTACAATGAGATATTTATTATTTCCTATTTTATAAATATTTATTTATCATTTTAGAAATAAAGAAATTTGAAAAGAAATCTTTTTATTCAAAAATTTATAAAAATCTACAATTTATTTTCAAAATATGTGAACCAACCAGTGATGTGCAAAGGTTGGGGTGAAGCCTGGGGCCAACTCTTTGATTCAAGTATGGTGGGGGGACATAGGGCCTAGTACTGAGAAATGTGAAAAAAAGGAAGACATTTGAAATATATAAAAACAGATGAAACATGAAATAAACACTTTATTCAAATTAAATATAAACTAAATTTTTATTTCACTCTTTGATTGGATGCCCTCCCAATATGAATGCCTGGGGCCGTTACACCCCCTTCTGCAGACTACTAGAACCAACTACAATGCAATATTTATTTATCATTTTATAAATAAATAATTATGAAAACAAATTTTTTATTCATAATTTTCTAAAAATATCTGAAATACAGAACAAGAAAATTTAAATAAACAAATGATTTTTCTGTACATTATAAATTTTCTTCTCAAATTATTTTATATCTCAGATTATATTTCGTTTTAATTTTCCAATTTTTTTTTACATGATCTAGGATCAAGGATGCCTGATCAATAGAAATCCAAGGCCAGAAACTGCAGCAATTATAGATTATCCCCCTTCCCATTCTTTTTTGAAAAATTTTAAAATTTGTTGCTAATTTTTATAAAAATGCTTAAAAAATCTGACAACAGATTATTTATTGTCAGCCAGGGCACATCGAGGCGGTGTAATGGTTAGCAAGCTTGTCTCACTAGAACAATTACAACTGAGTCGTGAGTTCGATCCTCACTGGGTGCCCCATACTTTCGGCCTTGTGCCACATCTAAGCTACGCTTAGAAAATCACTATTTATTGTCAGCCAAGTGCTGACTGATGAAGAAAGTCTTAAATGAAGAGTGGACATTAAGGAACTTAATTAAAGCAAATGTCGAAGCTGGTGAATTATGTTCTTTGGAATGTCTGGCAAAACATTGGCAAATTGCTAATCAATTCGAACTTTTATAAAATGGTAAATAAAGATTTCATTATAGCTGATTCACATATTTTTATAATTTAGTATTTTTTAAATAGATTTTTTAATAAAAATACTGCTTTCATATAAATTGGTAAATGATAGTCATTGCAGTGTAGTTGACTCACATTTTTAGAATGTTGTAAATATAAAATTATTCTTGTAAATAAACAATCTAATAAATAGTGTTTAATATTTTTGTTGTAAATTCTCAAGAACAAAGAAAATGCATAAATTTACTTATACAGTGTAACCCGGATATAAGAGAGTTGTCGGGACTGGAGAAGAAGTCTCTTATATCCGGGTTTCTCTTATATCCGGGTTTGGTCTATTTTATATACATTAACACAGGCTCTAATTTGGGACCAGAGAAAATCTCTCTTATATCCGGGTCTCTTATATCCGGGTTACACTGTATATGAAACTTTGATTAAATAATACAGTGTAACCCGGATATAAGAGAGTTGTCGGGACCGAAGAAGAAGTCTCTTATATCCGGGTTTCTCTTATATCCGGGTTTGGTCTATTTTTATATACATTAACACAGGCTCTAATTTGGGACCAGAGAAAATCTCTCTTATATCCGGGTCTTTATATCCGGGTTACACTGTATATGAAACTTTGATTAAATATTAGTTAACCCGGATATAAGAGAGTTGTCGGACCGAAGAAAATCTCTCTTATATCCGGGTTTCTCTATATCCGGTTTGGTCTATTTTATATACATTAACACAGGCTCTAATTTGGGACCAGAGAAAATCTCTCTTATATCCGGGTTACACTGTATATAAGATTTACTATTTTATAAAGAAAGACTGTGTCAAAAGGACAGTTTTTCTGGGCACCACTATTACTATATATCTTTTGACTCCATTGACAATGTTTATTTTTTTAATCATTTCACCCTACATACAAAATTATTGAAATATGTAAACTAACTACAATGCAATATTTATTATTTACCATTTTATAAATAACTATCAAAACAAGTTTTTTTTTTTTTATTCAGTCTAATAAGTAAATAGTGTTTAATATCTTTGTTGTAAATTCTCGAGAATGTTTGGGCTTTATTAAAATTCTAATCATCACTTTCTAAAACATTACTGAGAGAGTGAAGGTAGTTCAAAATAATAGCAGTGTCAAGGGAAAAATCATCCTTTTGACACACTGTTTTTTTTTTGTGGGCATGAAGGTTCAATTTTACCATTTCCTTTTTAACTAACTTCATTCAAAAATCACTGATACTGTTTATATGGCAGAATTGTGAGGGAGTCCTATACTATAGACTCCTTCATCTAGAGTACTAAATGATAGATTTGAACCAGTACTGACCATAAAGGAAGGAAGCAATCTATGAAAAATATCTAGAATTAGTTAAGAGTAAGTGGATAATATTCTATCCGGATAACACTAGATCATTTTTTTTTTTACATCTTTGTTGGGAAGTTTTCTGTTGCATTCATCTGATAGAGTATCACTTATTGTTTGCTTTTTTTTATAAAAATAATTCCCTTAAAAGAATTTAAATTCACTGGAAAACTACAAAAGGAACCTAAAGCAAGTACTTAAAGACAAAAGATAAAAAAAAAATTATTGGAATTACGAGATTAACTGAAAAATGAAGTTACAATTTAAAAAAATAATTTTACTTAAACTGAAAGTTTTTGGTCAGCCATAAAAGTAGCAAGAACAAGAATAAGTTTTAAAATGAAAAAATTAATAGAGGTGGTTAATAAATCTGGGATATTTTTTTTTTTTTTTTTTTTTTTACTTATGTTTACATTAAAATGTCAGGTAGCCAGCCTTGTTGGGTTTAGAATTGATGAAAAGAATTATATATACAAAAGTCTTTTGAATAAGTTACCTCTGTGGAGACCAGTCAACTTGTTGGGAGAACTGGTTGAGTAGATTATCCCAAACATTTAGCGTTTGCTGTGTAATGTTTTGAATTAAAGTAGCAGTGACACACAAATTCCATGACGAAGATCCAACATGGATGCCATGTTCATCAAAATCATACACAATGCCTGAAGTGAAAAAAAGAACAAAGGAATTTACATCAACATTAAAAGCAAGAGAAAAGAATAACTTTTTTTCTTGTTGGCGCCAATCCTTGTTGGGAATGTTTATTTAAAAATGTAAAGAATACATTTTTTGTAGCACAAGGCCAAAGGGGAAGTGAGGAAAAGATGGTCATCACTGATTCTCCTACACCTAGCTAATCTGATTCTGACCCATTCATTCTTACACATGACTCGTTCACCACAAGAACTCATCCTTCTACTCCTAATCCAACATATTTACAGGGAACCTGAACACCCCATGGCATAAAAATTTCACTATGTACAATTATCTTTTTTTATTGTTTTTTCCCAATTTTTTGTACAAAACTATATAAAAATATCTCATGAAATGAGGTGGAGGGGGTGAACCGAATTATGAAAATAAAAGAAATCAAAAGCATTATAACAAAAAAAAACAGTCTATATTTCTGAGGTATTATGTACACTATTTACATTATTCAAACTATTGTCCTCATCTTTGATGCCATATTTATTACAACATTTCAGCTGTTGTACACTCCAGCCTTCTTCAGGTGGTTGGAATGTCAAACTGAACCCTTTATTTCACTCACCGTGCCATGAGTCCTCAAGGACACATGGCACAGTGGATAAAGGCATTAGTTGGATCCAGTGACAGGACCCAAAGAGTGTGAGTTCAATACCCGGTTAAGGCAGTGGAGAACTTGGAGAGGGGAATTAACAGGAGATAACTGTTAACTGACATCCATTAAACATGGCACATGGAACTAGAACAATCTACCCCAGTGAGTGAAATAAAAGGTTCAGTTCTACATTCCAACCACCTGAAGAAGGCTGGAACGTACAACGGCCAAAACGGTGTAATAAATATAGTGACAAAAATGAGGACAATAGTCCAAATAATGTAAATAGTGTAAGAAGAAAACTGTGTTAGTAAAACCCATCTACCTCCACAGAAAATTAAGAGCAGTTGCTGTATTCTGAAGATAATCAGAATCAAGAGGGAAGGATGAAATAAATTATGGAGTGAGGAAATGTCAAAGACTGATCCAGTCAAGATAAAAAGGGGAATAAAAACAAACTGGGGAGGTTGGAAATCTTGACAATGATCATAACAAGAGAGGGGGCTGGGTACAACAATCAGTCGCATTAACTAGGTGAACAAAAAGAGTCTAGATTAATCAGGGATGGGATCCATCAGGAATCTGCCTCATTGTGTCTACAGGGGACTAAAAAAGGAAATCAATGTTGGCCTGATTCACATGAACTAAGCATGCAACTTTTACCCACCTTTCACTGTAATCTGCCAAGAGCAAACACTTTCTATCAATTCTAATTTTCATCCTGAGATGATGCCCAAAGAATCTAATCAGATCCTGATGAGAATAGTGTTAATCTTATAAGATTTCCTCCATCTGTGTCACCCATATCACCATTCTTGCCACAGCTAGCAGTATAAAAAGTACCATTCATTTCACCCCAGACCATTGGAGGGACACATTGTCGCACACATATACGAGATTGATGGGTACAAGCTGTGCAGGATCAATACAAGCCATCAATTTGCTAAGAACCCAGAATAGGTGCATATGTAGACAGTGGAAGAAGGCATGCCCAACCATTTTCTTTAAACCACTATCACACTGGTGACAATTGGGCATATCTGCAAAGTCCACTCTCAAAGCCATGTCATTGAGAGATAGCACATTCCAGATCAAATCACCAGGTAAGCAAAAACTGAGGTAATCCACCACTGGCACCTAGGACCAACTTGATTGCTAACAAGCTCAGCCACCCTCAGAATGTGTCCAATGTGACCCCACTCCACTAGTTCCCAATACTATGTCCTTCTAGGCCATGAAAGGTCACTGGACTGAGAAGTACCACACAAGGCCTTTTGACACTCAATAAAGAATTCAGACTAGTTCCAGGGTTTATGATGGTGCTCAACCCCAGACCAGAAAGGAATGATAGGAAGGTGCCCACAGTGAATCTTCTGCCAACATGCAGTGTAGGAAAACCAACCTCAAGGTATGTTAGTGACTCACAAAGTGTGGCCTTCCTAGCACCCAGGACATGGACACTTGACACATATGGCTCTGCGAACCTTTGGCTTGCCTCCTCTGACACAAGAGGAAGAAGGGCAAGTGCCTTCCAATCGCCCTTGCAGAGAGGGAGTACCAACATTCAGTAAAGGATGAGGGGAAAGATCGTCATCTTCTACTGCCTCTAGGATCATGCAGATCAGATACAGGTTGCTCTGAATTGTTTAGCCCTTCACAGCACAAGTCTGCTCTGGCTCCAACAGAATCTTGGCAACTGACTGCAAACACTTCATCAGAATCTCAATCCTTGTTGGGAATGACTGCAAAAAAATCCCCCCTGCCAAAAAAAAAAAAAAAAAAAAAATATACAAATCATACAGATGCATTATGGGATTTCTTCCTAGCCAATAAAAATAGACCACTTCTCAGAGTCTCCTCCCCCATATTTCTGTTCTTTCTTGTCTTGAAGTCAGAATGCTGTAATCATGTGTCTGTATCCCTTTTGTGTGTTAACATCATTCTTAGTTTGTGAACATTTGCCTACTTTTGCTTTGCATATATTGTTTATTCAATATTATTTGGGCTCTATTCTTTTCTTTCTCTTGTTATTGTTTAATGCAAACTTTGTCAATTCTGTTTGCTGAGCATTTCTGCCAATTACATTTATTCATGAAAAATTACCCTACCTTTCTTTTACTATTTTTTTAAAAAAGGAACACTGAAATACTTTTTTTAAAGTCACTAAAATCATTTAAATAATTTTTGAGTTGTCTAAATTTAGGGGAACATGTCCAATGCAGTATTTTTGTTTCTCAAGAAACAAGACAAACAAAAACTAAACATTTACAGTGTTTATTCTTGGTAGTTTTATTCAGTGGGCAACAAGACTAGAAATATTAAAATGAAGAAGGTAGGCAAATGAATCAGCTTAAAAAAAAAATACTGAGCCATAAATAGTTATCTCATTAATGTGCACTAATTTCTTCATAAATTTTTATCCTCCTGTTTTCATTTTCTACAGAGGAATGAGAACATCATCATACTACCGGCTGACAAAGGTAATGCGACTGTAGTGATGGACAAACCGGACTATACAAGAAAACTGGAAGACCTCATTAGCAATGGTAGCTACAGCATAGTGAAGAAAGATCCTACTATGAAAACGGAACGCAAACTGTCACAGATCCTAATCAAGAACAAGGATCACTTCGCACCCAAGACGTATAGGCAGTTATCGCAGCGTTACAGCAAGTTACCTCACATATACGGTCTCCCTAAGATTCACAAAGACGGTATTCCACTCAGGCCGATTGTTAGTTGCCAAGGCTCTGTGTGCCACCCTCTGAGTCGCTTCCTTGTAGATATAATTGACCCATTGATCGGAAAGTCTCCTTCATATGTCCGAAACTCCGCCCACTTCGTGGAAATAATCAAAGATGCTCCCATTCTATCCAACCAGATGGTGAGCTTGGACGTGGTGAGTCTGTTCACCAAGGTACCCACGGAGGAGGCACTCTCAGTAGTCAGAGATAGATTAACCTCTGACTCTTCCCTAGAGGAGCGGACCAGTATTCCAATAGATAATCTGATGGAGATGTTGACTTTCTGTACACAAACAACACACTTCGAATGGGATCTCACATATATCGACAGGATGAGGGCTTAGCAATGGGCTCGCCATTATCACCAGCAATGGCGAATATATACATGGAATACTTTGAAGAAATGGCATTAGAGTCTATATCTCTAAAGCCAACTATATGGTTACGGTACGTAGATGACACTTTCATACTCTGGCCACATCAGGAAGAAGTCCAGGTTCTTCTGGACCATGTGAACTCAATAAGACCTTCGATACAGTTCACAATGGAGAAAGAGAGAAACAACTCACTCCCATTCCTGGATGTACTAATATCTCTCAAACAGAGAATGGGTTCAAGACATCCATATACCCGTAAACCAACATTCACCGGACAGTACCTCAATTTCAACTCCCACCATCCATACAGCGTAAAGAAAGGGATCATCCGATGCTTACAACATCGAGCAAAAGTCATAAGTGGCGATCCAGAGACGTTAGATAAGGAATTGGTCAGTATAAGTAGTACCCTACAACGCAACAACTACCCTGGGTACATGGCAGCAGCCCCCAAAAACTGGGATAGGCGGGTACAAGAGGAGGAGGAGGAGGAGGACAACAACACTCAGAAAACAGTCTGCCTGCCTTATGTGAAGGGGTTATCAGAGAAAATACAAAAGATCTGACGGTCCATATAACATCAGGACAACCTTCAAAAGCGTGACAACACTTTCAGGTATCTCTCTCGACAGTGAGACCCCCCATAGAGAGGAACATGACTAAAGACTGTGTATACGCTATCCCATGCAGCTGCGGAAAGGAATATAAAGGAGAGACAGGCCGCCCCTCAAGGTAAGGCTTCAAGAACACCAGAAAGCTGTAACGCGAGGGGAAGTAGAAAAATCAGGCGTGGCTGACCACATATGGAGAGAGAAGGGAGATCACCGCCCCTGTGGGATCATGTTGAGATCATAGACAGGGAACACCATTGGAAAATTCGTAAACTTAAGGAATCAGCACATATGCTAAGCCACAAAAATCTCCTGAGCCGACCAAGCATAGAAATAAATACAATATGGGAACCAGTAATAAGGAGTGCCAGAGAAAAAGCAATGATAACAAAGTTGCAATATGAACTCTGGTAAAGACATGCAATGATAACAGCAAAAAAAAATTGCAATATGAGCACTGGTAAAAATAATGCTGAAAACATTAGGTTTATAATACTCAGAAGTTCATACCCAGATGTCCTCAAGGACACATGGCACAGTGGATAAAGGCACGTTGGTTAGATCCAGTGACAGACCCAAAGAAGGTGAGTTCAATTCCTGGTTAAGGCAGTGGAGAACTTTCAGAGGGAAAATTAGCAGGAGATAACTGATAACTGACATCCATCAAACATGGCACGGGAATTAGAACAGTCTACCCCAAATCGAAATAAAGGGTTCAGTTCAAATTCCAACCACCTGAAGAAGGCGGAGCGCATAACGGCGAAACGTTGTGACAAATATGGCGACAAAGATGAGGACAATAGTCCGACTAATGTAAATACTGTACATAATACCTCATCTCAGAAATATAGACAAACTCTGTTTTCATTTTGTCTTCAAATACCAAAGTACAAGCTGTTCAGAAGGTATCCAATCATTTAATACTAACAATATGTTATATCTCATGCAAGATATAATAACAAAGTAAACCTGAGTGTTGGTTTTCAATAATAATTTTATAATCGGATGTAGGTATGTCAAAATACAGAGACAGAGTCAGGAGTAAGCTAACCGCAATCGGTGTTAACACACGAAAGACCTTTTTCCCTTACTGTTCGCTGTGGTCGTACTTTATCGGCAACCAGTCCATCCATTATCGTGAATGGGGAAGTTGGGTTATCTCATCACAACACAATAAAATAAGGCAATGGTACCTTAGTTACTTTAAAGTACTACTCTTGCAAACTTGTCAATTTTATACCAGCATCCCTTCCACTTTCAAAAACAATCTACTAAGTCCATTTTTGATAGGAACCATAGGCTTTATTTTTGTTTTCTCTGTCATCTTGTTCACAGTCTGAAATCTCATCCATTTAAATGGAGAAAAAAATAAAAGAAGTCAGAAATCTCCAAGAACTAAATGTGAATAGTGAAGTGACCCTGGGTGAGACAATATTTTGCCAAAAAAACCCTGAATGAAACATTAAGAACCTACTTGTAAATGCAAAGGTCACACAGTACACATGATCCCTCAATAATATCATTGCCAGTTCATGCCTATGCAGTAAGAACATATTTGATTAGCTGTCAATTTATATCAAAGCTATGCAAAATGACTGAACACTTTCCAGACAGACTTTACATACATAGAGTTTAAACCCAATATTAAGTCAAGGTATTAATGATAAAAAAATGAACTCTGACCCACCTCCTGCCCACAAACACACCAAATGATAATAAATAAAAAAGCTATATGGTTAGATTTGAGATTCTGTAACTGGTTACCCTCAGGGTAATAGTTTAGATTCATTAGTTCTAGGACAAAGCACTTGATAGACAGCTTTTATCCTTGAGCCCTGCATAAGATGAATGCTGAAAATTTTTAAGTGTATTTGAAATGTCAATACTTTTCTCCATTTGATGCTCCATGCATGTTTGTTTAATCTGTGTTGTGTGCATATATGTGTGTATCGGTTCTCCTGGGATGTCCAATTTCATTATACATTGCACGGTGTCAGAAAGAAAGAAAGAAAATATATAAAACTTGGTAAGGCAGTTGCCCTAGAGTGGCAGGCTTCCTAATGAATAGGATGCATGTTCAAATCTTCCTGGAATCTTATTCTTTATTTTCAATCTATACTACAGTGTGTAGCAGAATTACCTCCTACATTAGTGGCATATGGTACTTTCATCAAAGTATTGTTTTAACATTATGGGGAGGTGGGTATTTCTGTTGTATCCTATACTTACTAATGATCTTAAAATACCGGTCTGTGAGTTGTGATAAAAAGCAACAGAAATACAATGAATGAAATAAATCAAAAATTAATAACTATCAGCAGCAGGGGCTGGTACAATCATCTCATGATCCCCCCACCCAGAGTCTATGATATGCTCCCCCCCACACTCTACTACAACTCAATTTTCATATAAAATACAAATTTTATTGTAACCTAATTATGTACAACAATGGCTCATATGCAATCTTAAGGAACAATTCAACTAGAAAAATTGAAAATAAATACAATATATCTAAATATAAATTAGAGACATGTCATATTAGATCATTCCTTGTTAGATAAATTTTTTGCAGCAATTTTTAGCATCAACTTGAGATGTTTCTTGTTAAAAATTTAAATAATTTTAACACATTCAAAATTATGGATAAAAAATAGTGAATTTTATATAGTGTTTTTTTTCAAGACTTAACATGAACAAAACAAATTCACAGGTTTGGACAAAAAAAAAAAAAAAACGACCCCCAGAATGACATAAAAAAAAAAAAACGACCCCCAGAATGACATAAAAAATTTTCATCTTTTAATAGTTGTGCTTAGTTTAATTTCTAATGTGTATAAATGTAGATTTGAAAAAACAAAACAAATGTTGATAAGGTAGTGAGGTTCACAAAGCACTGCCTGGGGCACCCCTTTCCCGGTTCGGTGGGGTTCAAGTATAGTATGCACCGGACCTTACTGTCAACGATTCATCTTAGTGAAAATTGAAAAATAATATTTCTAAATATCTTAGGATTGTTAAATCATTTAATTTCCACATTTGTTATTAAATATATTTGGCTGTTTCTCTGTTATTGTTTGTTTATTGTATTTTAGGTTTATTTTAATTTGACCAATAAACAAATATAAATAAACTAGTTGTTCAGGTAAGTTATGATATCACAGATAGAGTTTATTATTTATCAATTCTCCCTAATGATTCTATTTTGTCAGTGTCATGCTAAAAAGGTGTAAGTCTATTTTTTTGTGAAAATGAAAAAGAAATTTGAAAAGAGCCTAACTCAATATACATCCTTTTTAAATATTGGAGTCTAACTTCACAAAAAATCTTTGTATCAGAATATTGACTGTGTCACCTTATAGAATTCATATGTCAACTTACACACTTTTAGAATCAAACAGGCAATTTGTTAATGCAATTAATGTTTAATTACATCAATATTTGGTAAGGAATAAAAAAAGCAATGAAAATACAATTAAGGTTGTATTTTAAACACTGAGTGCATTTGAACTGGATCTATATTGTTTAGGGATTGGCTTTTTTTTATAACTACCTATTGAATTTAGAACTATTTTATTAATCCTTTTTTAAGCTTTAACCATCTGTATTAACAGATTAAATATTTCTGGTTACAAGAAAAAAATAATTGTTGATTAATCACATAATTTTACAAGTATTGATCTAAAATGTGGTTGCCTAATAAATTATATTCTGTATGCATTGTAAATGATATAAAAATGTATGGTCAATATTCATGAATTAATCCAAGTATAACTGACAGTACATAGCTATTGTTTATCATGTAAATGCATTGCAAGTGATTGGTAATACAAAAATGTATTAAAAATCAAGAAGAAAAGGATTGTCATGAGTCAAAAAAAATGCAAGCATTACAGACAGAACTATCACCCATTTTACACTACTCACTGATATTTTGAACTGGAGTAGAGGTTTATTCCTTCTTTCATGTTTGAGATTGGATTTCCGATTCCTTCTAAAGTTTTCTTCAGCTCTGTATTCCTAATGTCAGTGACTGAACTCTGAAATTTTATTCACTACTCATTTTATTTTATTCTTATTTTTTTCTCTCCTGCAATAAGAGTAGATATGTTTGCCTATTGTCCAGTTCACATTTCTCCCCAGTCTTTTGAACAGGAGTAGAGGTTTATCCCTTGTTTCCTGTTTAGGATTGGGTTTCCAGATCCTAAAGTCTACTTCAACTTTATGCTCCTAATGCTTGTCTTTTCTTCTGCTAATACAACACAAAACCCCTCTACCTTGAGTGGCTCTTGGGCCTTGTATTCGATGAACAAGTCTTGGATATTGTAGAATTTATAAGTAAATAAATGCACTTACCTTTTGAATTTGTCAATCCAATATGAAGATTTGATGAATTTTGGTAATCTCTAAATACAGGAGAAAAAAAAAATCAGATGTACATGATTTAACCAACACTCTTCAATTTATTGAGATAAAAATGGGATAATCACTCAATATAGTAATTATTGATTGTTTGGAGTCAGTAAAAATTTCTGGGGTTGTTGGGGAGAAAGTCAGCAAAGTTTACGAATAAACCTGATCAGCATGAAGGGAATTATTCAGTTTGTTTATTTAAAAAAAAGTTTCAGAATAAAGACAAATTTTTTTTAAAGGATTAGACACAAAAATCTTTTTTAAACACCAAGACACAACTGATATTAAAAACTGTTCATATAAATGACTTCAATTCCCACATCTTTAATTTTAATTACAAAAGTTTTTAACTGACAGCCATTTTCTTTCCATGTATATTTATTGAAGTGAATTACTCATGATATTTCAAAGATTTTTTTAATCATTTTACCCCAAGAAAAGCAATAATGCCACTAAGTCACAAGGGGTCACTGAGAGTGAAAGGAAATGAGAAAAATCTGAGGAGAAAGGACAATAATAATAAAAAAAAACAGGATTTAGGAAGACAGAAGATGGTGACTGACATAACATTTAAATTTTTAAATATCAGGTGACAGAGAATCAACCAACCAGAAGAGAGTTCCACAGGTGAGAATTGCAAGAAAAGAAATTATTAGAATAGAACTTATGGTTACATCTAACTTTTTCAACAATAAAATGATGAGATCTACTTCCCAATCTAATAGTATGCTTAAATTCATGTGGTTAAGGTACCAATGAGGAAAGCTCATCAGAACAATTACCACGAAAATATTTTCTAAAGAAATAATGAATTTTATTTAGTAATCCAAGAGTTTTTATCACAAATGTTATTTTTAGTTAATATCCATATTTGAGCAGATGAAAATAAATAAGTATATTGTTTAATAAATAAACAAAACGTCTATTCAAATATGAGTATCCACTAAAAGTAATGATTAAAGTGATAAAATTTGTTGGATTAATAAATAAAATATCCATTACTTTTTTTAAAAATTACTTTGTTTACATTTGGATATGAAATTGAGTAGGTATTAAAATTTCAAGAGTCTATGATGAGAAGAATTTCACTTAAAGGCACTTTTCAGCCTTGACTGAGTTCTTTGTAACTCAGTTGGTCAAGGGCACATTGGATTTAATGAAAGTTCTCTTTGCCTAGGAAATCCAAGTTTGAATTCTACTGGAGAGCACATATTTTTCATTAATAAGATTTCTTGAATATTCAGGCCAGTAGACAAAAATAAATAAATATACTGTTTAATAAATAAATGGAGCGTCTACTGAAATACAAGTATCCACTAAAAATAATGTTTGAAGTGAAAAAAAAAAGTGTAAAAAAAAAAAAAAAAAAAAAATCAATAATTATTTTTTTAATTAAGGGTAAAATTTCTTTACCTTTTTTCTTTCATTATTGTTTCTTGATAGATTCATTTTAGTTTTATTATTCCTTTTTCAATTTTTATTTCTATTGTAGACGTTTGTTCAAATAATGAGAAAAACTTCATAAATAATCAATCAAACCATATAATAATTACAAGTCATGCATGTATTTATATATTTCCTGTTTCTCCTGAAGGGGTAAGGGAGGTAAATCAACTTAAGCTAGTAAATAATTGAGTGATTACTTCCCTTAGTCATTTTAATAATCTATACAAATAAAATACTTATAAGCATTGAGACAAAACAAGTTCCTGAACAAAATGAACCATTTTATTAATCAGTTCCTTTACTCCTGTTTTTTAGACTGAAGTCTTATTTCTTCAAGCCTTTCATGAAAGGCACTCAGCTAACTTTTTTTTGTGATTGTCTTGCTTCAACTTTGTATTGAAGTAGGCTTTGTCATCACTATCTTTTTTTTTTAGAGATATTTCCATTCACTGTTATATTAAACACATAAAATTTTTAACATGAGGAAGATACTGAGCAAAAAGCAATTTATATAATATCAGAAGTAATCAATGAATCATAAATACCATTAAATGTTTAACAAACATAAAGGGAACAAATTAATTAAATGGTTCATTGGCCTCTATTTTAGTGGTGAATTCTTTATTTCTGCTTTATTGAATCTAAATTCATTGTTTCAAGACATTTGTTTCATTGCATCTAATAAAACTTCCTAAAAATTGCTGTCATTTTTGACAGCACAGATACACTAGTATATGTAATAATAAACACATTTAAATAAATTAATATCTTTTACTGAATTGGCTGATATCATAATTGAGAAAGACTTGTTTGATAAGCAGTAGCAATGGCATTGATATTTGATTGGAAATTTAGTGCAAACTTACTATGATTTATTTATCAACTCACCTTTTAATCCCAAGCATTTATTGACCTCCAGTGATCAATATTCACCACTTTGTGGACCAATGATTTCAGATCTTAAAATGTTTTAACAGTTTGAGCTTCGGTATAAAACATTTATTTTCACTGCATTACAATTGAAATAAATTAAGGATTATCTGACCTTTAGTATTTACAGTCAAATCATGCTGAACAAAGATTCTTGTTTGATCACTGAGGTTAAGCAGTTTGAGCCCAGTCTGTACTTATATTCTGGACTGCTTGGAAATGCTGGGTACTGTAAGAGACCTCCTACAAAATCAGTTGGGTATGGGGTGAGCAACTTGTAAAAACCTGCTTGCTACAGAAACCACAGTAGCTCCATATTCCTCAGTGAAATCTACATTTCCTGAGTGAGAGTAGAATTTACCAATCATTAAAAGTTTTAAACAGTATTGATTGATTGATTGATTTTTTTATGGCTTCTTAACTGTTTACAGGTTATTTAAAGTCAGAAAATGTTTTTAGATAATAAGAATTTTTTTGAGATAATAATGATTTAATGATACAAGTCCTACTAATTAACCCTGTTGTAGAGTAGTTTCACAGTGAAGGCGTGTATTTCACTAAGTTGGTCCTAAAAAGGTTCGACGTACAAAACATTAGGAACTTGATATAATAGGTAATGACGCAGAGAAATCTAGTGGTGGTTGCTGATTCTCTTAGTGTCCGACATCAACTGACTCACCAACTCACTGAGCCACTGACTACTAATCCTACTTATTATAGGTGGGAGAGTCTATTAACTATAGAATAGGTGTGTTCCAGTACAAATCCATAGCTGGGGGAGAAGAGGTAGATTCATACTTTCCTTAAAGGTATTTCTGCATAATTTCAATTTCCAATTCCAAGCTGTTAACCATTACACCAAGTTTACAGAATACAAGTGGTCAACCATGTAGATACTGACTGAGCTTGATGTTGCTTAACGTTGGTGATTGCACAAAAAAACGGTGTTTCAACAGGATATGGCTGTAACACTTTTTAAACTGTAATTTGATTTTCTGACGATACTTTTTACATTTTATGCAATGTGTGTGTGTGTGTGTGTGTGCGCGCGCATGTAAATTGAATGACAAAATGGAAAATAGAAAAATCTCATGTTACACATTTTGTACTTTGAAAGGACTTCTTCATACAAAATAATGCTTTTATCAATAGAATCATATATAAGATGGTCAATAAAAACATTATGTCTAAAGAAGTCATTTTAAAGGATGAAACATGTAACAGAATTTTTTTCCAATTTTGTCGTTCAATTACCCACTATTAATCTGATATATAGATTTTGGATATATTCTTCCATGGCTTCACTGTCTAGATCTGATAGAGAAACTATATTGTTCCACAAAGTCATACATGTCTGTTGAAGAATCAAATACTAAAATAATGAAGAATACAACAAAGAAGAATTGAGTGCTGCTAATCTCAGCCTAGACTATTGCCCTGCACATATACATGCACAGATGTAAGGAGGTGGTGCTGATCCTTTAAACATTCCTCATCACAACCCAAACAAATCTACTAATAAAAAAGTGTTCTTATTTTTCTTTCTGAGGCCAATGTAATGATGATGATGAGGTGGCCTATGCTGATGACACAGAAATTTAGAGTTGGGATAACAATGACCTTAGATAAAAAAATGCAACAAGAAATAGGACTCAAGATAAACCTTTTCAAATCAGAAATTATCATCTGGAATTGGAATGAAATTAGTAACAGTACATACCCTAAATCCATCATAAAAATACAATGTGAAATTAATAAATACTAAACACTTCAAATATTTTAGTATAAGGAACAGTTATAACAAGTTTAGTATAGGCAATAAAAAAAATTGAACATAGAATTGGCTGCGTTAAAGGTAGTTTTGTCCAACACCACAAGATGTTACAAATTAAAAACATTAACTTGTCATATTCTTAAATAGCATCATCAGATGTAAATCTTCATATGGATATCATGCATGGCATCGAACTCATTTAGAGATTTCTAAACTGTTATCAGTATACAGATCAGTGATTAAAAATGGCTTGAGCAAATGAGCCTTGTAATTCTTCAAGAGAAACATCTTTCTTTGAACTGTGGATGGGTACTACAAAATTACAAAGAACTGTACCAAATAATAGAAACCATATTACTTGAAAACTTTCTAAATGGATAGCATGTGTAACTTGAAAATAATGACATAATCAAGATGTTGATGTTCAACACTACTTCAAGCAAAAGGTTAGGTAGGAAACCCCCACCAATGCTGGAAAGAGCAATGACAGCAGAATTGAGAAACTTATTTTCCTGAAAAATTGTTTTAATAGAAAGATATAAATTTCAACCAAAAATAGCTCTGGCTGCTCGGTCAAAGAATGTCAAATACTTTTGCATAATGAGGAAACAGCTAATCTTGTCATATTTCTACAAGTTCTTTATGCATTTTTAATTCTTTGTTTAGCGTTATTCCTATTTTTTATGCTTTGAGTAATGTTTTTAACCCAGGGTAAGTTGTGAAGAGTTTGCAGAAAAGCAAAAAAGCATGAAAAATAGGAATAACCATGTAGAAGGGAGCCAACATTTAAACAAACATTTATATATATATATATATATATATATATATATATATATATATATATATATATAGAGAGAGAGAGAGAGAGAGAGATAGAGATAGAGAGATAGAATTCCAGTATATTTTTTTTTAAAGAGGTGTAAAGGATTTTCAGGTATAAACAATGCACATTGAGACAGTTTTATATTTGATTCATGGAAGATCTTGTAACTTGTTTTGTCAAAAGGCTTCTCTTCTCAGTTACCTTATTACCACTGGCTTTTGGGATTTACACCTAACACAAGCACTATGTATTATTAAAATCTCATGACATATATTTTAAAAGAAAATGTGGCATAAAGACCAGTGATGTTAATTGGGTTATTATATGCTGGGCTTTGTGTTGTCTATTTTACTACAGCTAATCCCATGGTTTCTATCTCTTCAAGGTCTGGAAACCATGAGTAACTATTAAGGGTAAAATGAAGTGGTACATTCAGTATCTTCCACCATGTCAGTTTGAGCAATGTTTAACATTTGTACCAACAAAAGTACAGTGTGTCAAAAGGATGTTTTTTTTCCCCTTGACACCGCTTTTATTAACTCTCTCGGCAATCTTTTTTTATTAATTTCACCCTATATTTAAAAGATTATAAAAACATATAAACCAACCAAATACAATGTGATATTTATTATTTACCATTTTAGAAAGATGGATTTACCATTTCATAAAGAAATAAATTTGAAAAAAAAGTCCTTTCATTCAAAAATTTATAAAAAATTATAAAAATATTTACCAATTACAATGCAATATTTATTATTTACCATATGCAGACATCAATGATGCATCATTTGATATTTAATTTATGCAAATTTTTGTTCTTTAATTTAAAGTATCACATTACTTTTAAAAATATATACATCTCTTTGTTCTTTAATGATAAAAAATACTTTTGCAAAAAAAAAAAAAAAAATAAACAATTGGTTATTTAAAATATTTTCTTAAAATAAAACATTTAAAAATAAATATATGGATTTAAAAGAATTTTTTTCATTAAATGAAAAAAAGTCTATTTTCATAGGTAGATATCAGTGACCTAGGGAGTACTCTTTCAAACTTTTAATTTTGTAAAAAAAAAGTATTTTTCGTAATAAACAGTTAAGTTCCAATAACTCTGAAAAAGTCATGTATCAATTTTCAACTGTAGTATTATTATATCGATATTATGAACGGGACCCCCAATTATAGAATGATAAATCAATATCTTTACTTTTTTTTTTTAGATTCTGACAAGTGTCGCGATTTAAATTTTTTTTTTTTTTTTTTTTTTTTTTACACAAGTAAACCAGTTTTCGTAAACTTAAGTAATGCCAAGATAAGAAAATATAGTTAACTTAAGTAAAAAAAAAAGTTAAAACTAAAAGTCATAAAAACTGTCAGTAACACTAACAGGTAACAACGTAAACGATGATCAACTGCAGCATTTAATCTCCAAACTTTGATCCTGATAATTTTGTTGTTAAAGCCTTGACCTAAGGTCATCAGGTGATTTGCAACTTTACTTGACATTGAATGAATGAAGTATATGGAATTAAAAATAGAAGCTAAAAATAACATTCCCAATCCCATAAAAAATGAAACAATTAAATCAGTAGTAAAAGAGAGCGTATCTATTTATTTACGTTTCGGCTTACGATACGCCCTTTTTCAGTACATTTTTTGTTTTGTTGAGTCATGAAAAAATACTTTATAAAAAAAAAAAAAAAAAAAAAAAAAAAAAAAAAGCCCGAAACTTGTTCCGGTTCGGGGTTTGGAAATTATAAACAGTTTTTAAATAATTAGTAAATACTGAAAATTAAAAGAATAAAGACTAAAAAAATCCTAGTTTACTCACGTCTTATTTTCCTCTGACAATATTAATTTTTAATTTTTTTAAAAATTTAAATATAATGATTCAGACGTTTTACTTTTTAGAGCGCAAAAAACATGCACGAATAATTTTGAATTTTTCAAAATAAAATATTTTAAAACAGTCATTCATTTATCAAAAACAAAATAAATAAGAATAAAATTTTTACTTGAGAAAATTTCCTATAGTTGGTTTCACAACAACTGAAAACGGATTTTGTTTCGCTTTTGTTAAAGGTGACGGAAGACGAAAAGGAGGAATTAAACTTTCTGTTTTGGTCACATCTTGTCTACAAAGAGGGCAAATCCGTGGAATCTGGGATAAACAAAGAATATTGGTCTTCTTGTCACAATGCTGGAAGCATCGAATCGCTTCTTTATCTTCACCGGATTCAAAATCAAGAAACGTTTCCCTTGGTAGATGTGAATGCGAAAACCTGCTCATGTCAACAACTTGCTGTCGCCATAAATGCAATTAAAGTTATCTCCCTTTAGTTGGTGACTTCAAATTATTTCATTACACTCTTAAAAATCATTTCAATATGGCAATCTCACTGACAATGTAAATTATAAATAAATAAAATTTTAAAATATTTGGATATTGTTAAGTTTTTTTTTTTTTCAGCACTTTAGATGATTTCTACAAACCAATTTCTGCTTTTTTTGGATATGAAATCATGCACACGAAATAAAACGAAAAATAGCGTCTAAAATGCAATATTTTAATTTTTTTTTTCTAAGACAAAAATCGAAATTTAATTGAATAATTTTTAACCAATATGAACGGCCTCTTTTCAATTTACATGGGAATATGTTTGGAGGCTCTCATAATCAGGAAAGTATACTTGTTCTGACTTTGGTAACATTTTCCTCTTCATACACATTCGATTCTGTCATATAAAATTGGAATGATTCTTGGATAGTACCGCTTTGGTTTCGTAACTTAAAACTATTTTTCGCTTTATTTCGTATTACCGCTCTAAATAAGAACACGATGACATTCCGAGAACTCAGAATATGAAGCTAGCTGAAAAATTTAAATACTGTCAGAATGTAAGGGAGGTAAATGTGTTTAGAATGCAGAAATAGTTTTGTTAGACTTAATAACGGAAAAAAATTATATTTCGATGAAGTTGGTTGTGAGTCTATTTCTAGAGTAAGTTTTTAATGTCATTTAGAACCATTGTAGCACTTGAGACGGAATCTCAAACTTTGTGGCTCACACTTTGTCATTCAGCAAGTTAAGTACATATTGAAGCAATGTTATAAAAAAGTAAAACAAATATATTCTCATATTGGACAAATTTAATGAAAAATAGTTTTTACTCAGAAAATGTATTATTTTTACTTATTATTTTTTTTTTATATATTTTCTTGTGATCATTAAATTAAATACAATTTTTTTTGTTGGATTGAAGTTAAACTGTAGCGTTACAAAACTGAAATATCTGCCCTTGTCTCTGAATCGTTCTAAGCAATAACTGACAAATCACTGCTGGTAGTTCGTACTGATCACCGCCTTCAACAAGCTAATAAAAATATTTGGAAAACATTGCGGGAAATCTCCACCTTGGGTCACAGAGAAGATCTTGGGTATGTGTGATAAACGAAAGATGAAGACTTCTGGGTGCGCAATGTTTTTGTGTTGGACAACTGTTGCTACAAAAAAAAAAAAAAAAAAAAAAAAATGAACAGAAATACAGTTAAAAAATATCTCTTTTCTCTTTTATATTTTCAAACGAATGTATTCATATATTCAAATAATAGATGCAAACTAAGTTTTGTAGCTTTCAAATATAATACAATTCAGACAATAAAACTAATTCGTTGTAGAATTCACTGCAGAGAATAAAAGTTATTTTCTGTTGGAGTTCAGTAAACTTCACTGAAGAGTGAAGAAGATGTATAGAATCGTCCATATTTCAAACTCACCTCCGAGATAAAATACACTCTTCCATCAGAATCAGTTTTAACCAACCAACACCTTGCATTGCAAATCTCGACTTTCTATTGGTCGAGACATGTAACAATTGTCGAAAACCTGTCTTCGCGCCCTGTTTCTGGAGCCTATTTTGGTTTCCAGAAACAAATAAAAAGGACCATCTCAACCCAATTCACAAGTCAGTCAATAAACTTCAGAGTGATGCCACACAAATCCACGTTGTCATTACTTTGACTTAAAGATAACTTTTTTTTGTCAACTGCTGACTCAAACATCAACATAATCTCACATCTCACTTACAACTTTCTAAGAAAAGTGTTCTTACACACTACTAATATAGAAATTGTATTTTAGACAATGACAAACACAGAACAATCCAAAGTAAACAACTCTAGAGAATTTAGACAATTAAACTCCTACTTTATTCACGCATACAAACTACACAAATTTCTGTATAAATAATATTTTCCATTTCATTCTATTTGACCAGTTCTTAAACACTTGAACAATTTTGAACTGTAAATCAATAAGAAAACCAATCTATCAATGGTCAATTTCTTGCATTATCAAACTATAAGTTTTCAAATTGTATGTTAATTGTACATAAATGCATGTTGTTTTATTGATTATTCATATAATCGGTGTTTCTTACTCAATTGCCTTGTGATTGATTCGTTTTTGAATGTCTATATTGTTGCGGATTAATATGGTGAACATGCCCTAAACTAACCATCTTAATATAAAAACCTTCTGATAACAAATTCAAACTCATAGCAATCCCAACAGATGTAGGAATTTTTTTCGAGAAGAAAGCGGGGACGTCGCCTTTCTTAACCCGAATATTGTATAAGGCGCGTACGTAAACAAACAAAACTCGAAGCTCCGATGTGAAATTTGAAAAAAAAAATAAACATTTATAATGAACAGAATAATACAAGGCTTTCAATTTGTAGTTTAGCATCCGCGCTCAGTTCGCATTATTATGCACGAGATCGCTAAAAAAAGCGTATAGTCTGATGAAAAAGACGTCAAACTTGACGAAAACAAAATTTTATCGCCAAAATGTCTATGTTACGAGTAAGAGTAAAGAACAAAGTAATTTTTAATTATTTTTCAAAATTTTCTGTCTTTATTACAACATTCTAACTTTCGATTGAAAAACCTTGTTTCTCGTCATCACCGGAACTCTAGTAAATAACATGGCGAATTTTTTGTGCATTTTTTTCTTATGACACATTAATTTTGAAAATCTTGAAAAAATAGAAATAATTGTCAGATTTTAATGAAACTTTCAGAAACTATTCAGAAATGATGGAAATTATTATAAATATGTTATTTTTTTTTAAGTCATTATAAAAATATATTTTTTATACATATATTACCACCCCCATAAATGAATTAAAGAAAACTGTAAAAGTTTATGGACGAAGCAGGGAAGTCATTATATTAATAAAAACACAAGGCTTTGAGGAAAGTAAATCAGGTTTTCTTTTTTAAAAAATCCGAACACGTAAACGCGAAAATCAGCTCTGAATTGTAACATAAAACCCAATAAAACAAAAATACTATTTAATTTTAAATGCTTTTAGTTGCTTTTATTTATTTTTATCAATATGCATAATATTGTCTGAAGGCAAAAAACTTTTTCGATGAAAAATGAATTTTTAAATGAATTAATTGTTATTTAATAAATTATTTTATTATTTTTACATAAAGTTACTAAAAGTTGTTAAATATTCTAAAATTAGCGGTACTGACGAATCCTGTATATAATGCTATTTTTAGGTACCTATATCTGTACAGATTATAAATAGTACAAGGTTTTTACAATCAACGAAAAAGCAATGAGAATAATCTTACTGTCCTTTAACCTATGTGTAGAAAAAAAAAATCTTAAATCAAATGTACGGAGGCCCGGAAGAAACATGATCCAATAAAAACATCACGTGACTTGATTTGTACGGCACTGTTAACGGCCTTTATATTTATATAAAATTACTTTAAAAAATTTATAATAATTTCCATCATTCCTGAAAGTTTCTTTAAAATCTGACAATTATTTCTATTTTTGCAAGATTTTCAAAATTAATGTGTCATAAGAAAAAAATGAACAAAAAATTTGCCATGTTATTTACTAAAGTTCCGGTGATGACGAGAAACGAGATTTTTCAATCAAAAGTTAAAACGTTCTAATAAAGACAGAAAATTATTTAAAAATAATGAAAAATTACTTTGTTCTCTCCCCTTAATAGTAACATAAACATTTTGGTAATAAAATTCTGATTTCGTCAAGTTTAAGGCCGTTTTTTCATGGTATGACTACTTAAAAATAACGAGGTAAATAAGTTGTTAACGTAAAGATAAATTGTCACTTACGACCTTCCGTACTATAAATTTCCGCACGTAATATGTCAGTGCGTGATGAAAAACACGCACTTGTCATTTGTCAATCAACACCGCAGTTCAGATCGGCTTTCTCCCATTTGAAAAAAACATGTTTTCATCACAGAAAATAAGCAATCTTTGTTTCAAAATATACTAAATAAACTTTCTAATTTCTAATTTTTTTAAAATTAGTTAAAAAAAAAATCATAATTGATTTTTTAAATAAATTTTAAACGGCAACATTCACTTTTGTAAACAAACATCAAATACAACGGGAGATTATCGATCGTCTGTCGATTTTTTTTTTCCGATTCAAAAAAATTGAAGATTTTTAACGAAAATTTTGGACGTGCTAGAAATTATTAAAAAATTTTAAAAAATATTCAAAAAATACTTTGATCATTCCTCTTGATAATAACATTAACATTTATACGATAAAAAATTATTTTAATCAAATTTAAGGCCTTTTTTATTCATGGTATGCTATTTTTTTATCGATCTCATGCATATACCTACAAAAACTTCCCGAATACTTACATTTAGGAGTAAATTTACATGCTTCATTCGAAAATGACTTGATAAACTTTAGTAACACTTCTTTTACTTTCAAACATTTCTTGAAATCTGATTGGTTATTAAATGCACAGTAAGCTTCTAGAAACTTTCATCGCATACCAGTCGATTTTTGTGCAAAAGTAGGCTCAACCTACTTGAAAAACTCTTTCTCTAATTTACCCCTAACTTGAATGTCTCATACAATTCTATTGGTTAAAAAAATAGAAAAATACGATCTCGCCTACGCATTTCTTGGAATTAGCGGCAGCGTCTACAGAATTTCCGGTGAATCAGTTTAATTATCGAAAAAGCTAAATACGAACAGCAATCAAGTTTCTTCGCACAGAGAGATATTCAGAGAGACGCCGAGAGAGAACTTAATTTTATGCTGATCAGAGACTGACTTTTTAAAACAAACTTCTTTTCTGAAAGATTCGGAAAAATACTCTACACCACAATTCACCAACGTTTTCAACAACTCACTGTGACAAAACGTTTCCACTAGAATATCTTTCTCAGAAAATTTTTGTCTAAATTAATTTTTACTAATCTTGACTTTTCTA